CTGGTATTGTGGATTAAACCGAGACCTTTCTATTTTTTATTTTGAGATAGGGTCTCATTAAATTACCCGGCTGGGGCTCGAATTTGTAATCTTCCTGTCTCAGCCTCCTGAATAGCTGGGATTGCAAGTGTGTGGTGCCGTGCCCGGCAAGCTCTTAAAATTTTAACAGCTTTATTATTGAATACATGTTAAGGTTTTTCTCCATTTTTTATTTTTAAATTGATGAATCATAACTGCATATATAGGGGGCATAATGTGATGTTCTGAGACAGGCAAAAATTGGGAACGCGAAAATCAGGTAAAGTAACATAGCTAACCCCCTCCCTAACCTGCCACTATAACGTCTAAAATGTACCCTTCCAGCAACCGTGAAACATCCACCAACCACCACTGTCGAGCTGCAGTAGCTCACTAGAACTTACTCCTCCTGAAACTTTACACACCTGTCACCTAGTGTCTCTCCCTTCCCTGCCCGCTGCTTCTAACCAACCGAGTCTCTACTTCTGTAACTAACTTCTCAAGATTCTGCGTAGACGTCAGCTAATGTGACGTGCAAGTTTGTAATGGGCATTCCTTTTAAAATTTCCCGTCTTTATCAGTACACTCCTGTAGTACAGGACGCTCACACCCTGTGGGGAGTCGGTGCGTGCACGTAGCACAGCTTCACTCCTCTGTTGTCCTCTTCCCCTTGCCCCGTCCATCTCTTAATGCTGAGTACCCCCTGGTGCCAAGCCCTTTGCGTGAATTCTTCCCGGAAGCTTACAAAGGCCTTTAGGCCCAAACCAGGCAAACACCCTCTCGTCTGTATGGGGAAAGTGACAATACACTCTTTGTTTAACGCCTGAATTATGCTGCGCCTAAGTCGTTAAATGAATTGGTTGCTCCGTGAGGAACTGTATATCGTGGGTGTAATGTTCAGAACAAAGAAATGGTCAAAGGAAACCCCAGCATGATGACTTTGCTTTTATTTGATAACTCTTACATGCAGTACTGGAAATGTTGTCAAATCCAAGAGATCAGAGAGAACATCAGGGAAAAAGGAGGATTTATTTCCAGGGTTTGAGATGCACGTTGACCGGCTGTCCGGAGTGCTCGGCGATGGGACAAAGGAAAGGTTCTAGTTTCACACATCTGGCTGAGGGAGTTGGGCTTTAGCAGCTGGGCAGGGTAGTGAGGGTAACAAGCGACACCAAGCAATTAATAACAGGCTTGAAGGAAGACAGCCTTAGGGGTCCTGCGAGAACGGATGACACAAACTCTGTCTAGAGGACGTTTGCCAGTCTTACCTGCACCAGAACAGGAAGTTACAACTACAGGGGAGGAGGGCAGCTAGAGCCAGGGCAGCTTGAGCAGGACCGCTCTCAGTCCCGCTTCATTATGTGTAACGAGCCTAAGACCGCAGGACAATCGGCAAGAATTACAGCGCCCTGTAAACAAGGTGTACTGCATGAAAAGGACACTGCAGTTAGATCAACAAGACCTGCAAAAGAGACGAGGCCTATGTCGCAGCTGATAAACAAGTAGGTCATTAAACAAGCAGTGTCTGTAAATGACTTCTAAGGCAAATTTCAGCTTTAGCATCTTATTTGAGATTTAAAGCAAATTTAGCTATCATGTTGGTAGTCATGCAGTCTTCTAGCACTTGATTTCATAGTCTCATTTCATGGATGCCTTTCTTCTCTCTCCATGGAGATACCATTTTGTGTTGAAATTTTATGCTACCTACATTTTAAAATTTCCTCCATGTCCCATTTCTGTGTGTATCTACTGAATTTGTTTCTTGCCTGGGAAGGGGACACGGAGATGCTGACGTGCCCCTTGTGGACTGACAGGTGCAGGCGTACCTGTCTGTGCAGACCTCTGAGTGTATCTGTAAGTCTGTTTACAGGGATGGTGCAGGGGCTGTCTTCCTGCAGAGCAAAACCTCCTTCCAGCCCAGGAGACACCAGCTTGGCACTGTGAACCCTGTAGGCTGCAGGGACCCTTCCTTCGTGGTCTTGCTGCGTCCTCTGGTGCCGTGTCTTCAGTTAGAGGTTAGTTGAGTTTGTTTGCGCTTTTCAGCTTCCCCTGCATCTGGCTGAGGTCCCAGAGTCTTTCTGGAACAACAGTAACAACACATGTAACAGCAACTGTTTTATCAGACATGGTCTGAAGCAACTGACACAGAACCTGTGGTTCTGCTGCCCTTCCGGGGTAGCTACTATTATGTCCTCCCATTTATTGTTGCTCAGAATCACGGTCATGGACCCAGGGCTTCAGCTGTCTTCTGGTTCCTTCTTCCCGAACAGTAAGCTGTGCCTTGTTCGTGCCCCTCCTGTCTTGCCTTGGAGGGCTGACGCCTCCTCAGGTCCCTGCTGCCGTGTCAGTGGGGTTTTCGTAAAGGGTGCAGACAGTGTACCAGTTCTGTCACACACACAAGTAGGACTGAAATCACATTTTGGGTATCGGTGCTCTGTCTGGTTAGCACGACCAATGGGCAGTCGTTGAGTGGGGTCCCACCACTGTCCCATCATCGTTCCTGCTCTGAGTCCAATTAGGCTGTGTGGCCTTAACCCACACGTGTCACGGCTGCAAGTCACGTGGCGCTGTTGCTTGCACTCAGCACCATCACTGGGGAGATGTCAGCTTCTAAGATCCAGAACATGAAGGCACCAGAACTGAAGGTGTTTCTCTGCGAAGGTGAAAAGTGGCACAGACGTGACAGGGCTGGCGCCTGCCACCCAAGGTAAACGGGTTGTGTTGCTGAGGTACCGAGTGACTCATAGCTCCACTCATCCACTTTCCAGTTTTTCTATAATGTATTTGTATTTACCAGAAAAGAAAGATATTTAAGAACATTCAGCAATTCTGCTTGGAAACACGCTAAGGAAGCAAAGACCTGTTGGTTGTAGCCACAGTAACATTCATTCCAGAAGCGTGTATACTGGCATTAGATTAGTATACAAAATATCTGAAGAGACTGTTGGATTATGAAGCCAGTAAAAACATTAACAGAGTGCTGTCCATGCCATTACGAAGGGGACGTCAAAGCCTTCTGGACTGTATCTTACATGTGCGGATTGAACCCGGGCCGCAGCACACTCAGCATGCACTCTCGCACAAGCCACACGGAGCCCCGTACTGCCACCTCTAACAAGTGCACAGGAGAAAAAGCGGTGAAGGCAAACACCATAGCATGAAGAGCAGCTGCTTCAGAGCCAGGGATAAAGAGCTCGAGGCTGATGCTTTGCCCCAGATACGTGTTTCAAGTCCGCACACCCTGCTTCCACAGCCCCAGCAGTCCCCCCTCGCCCTCACTGCACTTTGGGAAGGGGCTGGAGCCAAGCGCAGGGGAGGCGGCAGCGGCAACGCACATGTTCACGCTCAGACCAAGTCCACAAGGGCATCTCCTGAGCACAGGCTCAAGTGGGATATGAAACACAATTTCCTGAGAGCTTCTGCCAGTCCCTCAGGATCAGCATCACTCTGCACACTGCTGTAAGCTTTCCAGTGTTTCTGTATCATGTCTGAACAGAGCAAAGGGCAGTCCTGAGATCACAAGCCTAGGGCAAGACAGGCAGAGAACGGGTTACACAGCTCAAATTCTTCCCGGCTGTCTTAAGATTATTTCAGTTTTTTTATTCTGAGTATCTCATTTGCCTACAATAAATGTATACTGGCTTTGTATTTTTAAAAAGCAAATGTTTTAAGCTGGGTGTAGTGGTGCACCTGTAACCGCACTAGGAGGCTGAGGCAGGAAGACTGCAAGTTCAAGCCAAGTCTCGGTAACTTAACAATCTAGTAAAACAAAAACGAAAAGAAAAGTGGGCATGTAGCTCAGTCTGGTACTACAACACAAAGCAAAATAGCAGTTATTTTAAATATACTGAAAATCTAATCCGTAAAAAGAAGTACTATTTCCAGCTCTACGCTAAAACACAAAAACTGCCTTAGTGCTTGCCAAGGAATCCCTAAGTTTAAACTTGGTATCCACTACATCTCTTAACAGGTTCCCTAACCCAGGGATGAAGTGAAACACACTCTTTAAATTCTGCTTGCCTTTATAATGCATTTTACAGTTGTGCTTGACTATGTTCAAAATACTGTTCTATCAATTTACCAGTCACACCATGAAGAGCTGCCTTTTTAAGCAAATACCTTACTTTTCAGATTTTTGTAAAAAGCTCACTTAAAACTTAAAGGTCTCCTTGGAACAGTGTCTCCAAACATAACCCAGGATGGCCTCGAACTCGTGGCGATCCTCCTGTCTCAGGCCTCCTGAGTGCCCGGATTACAGGTGTGCGCCACCACGCCCAGCTCCAAAGTTCTCTTCTTTCTGCACATACTGGACATGTGTGGCTTTCCTCTTTAACATACATGAGCGCAAATTCTTTTGCGCTCTTTCTGTTTTTCACTTTTGATGCTGGGGACTGAAGCCACCACAGCCTCTCATGCTGAGCTGCAGCCCGTCTCGGTGAGTTGGCTTTTTTATGCCTGTTTGGTACTGAATTGTGAGAACTTGTGAAGTCTTTTACTGTCAGTGTGGACATGAAGCCACAATGGCTGCAGACGCTCACTTTTCAAAGTACCTGAGTATCAGACTCTTGTCGTATTTCAATCACCAAAAACAAATCTGAGATAGTGGAGGGTTCCAGAGACAAACTCCGAAATTAACTCTGGCAGGACTGCTACTGGGAGAGGGGCTCCCTTCTGTGAACTGGGCACAGAGAGCTCAGCAGGCTGCTTCTGCCCAAGTTTCTTCTCCAAGCCAGGGCCCACGTGACCTCAGCACTCTGACCAGAGGGACGAGGAAGAGACGCTGAAAAGCAGCCCGGTTCTGAGGGACTCGCTCCCTCCCACTTACACAGGGGTGAGGCTGTGGGTGAGGTCAGGACCCAATCGCCTGCGACCCAGGCAGAAGTGAAGAGCACATGACAGGGGGCAGTGACCTACAGGCCTTCGCGGCTGTCCCAGGAGTGTCAACGAGACACTCCCGCGCTTGTAAAGGCAGCCCAAACACCTCCTTGAGAGAAACATTTATTTAGGATCTTTATTGATTACATAGTTTCAAACAAATCCAGAACAGGTTTTCACATTTGAGCCTTTAGTGCAAAGACACTGTGCCATGCGGGAAATGAAGTACTGACCCAGTGAGGTTCTCCCCGATGTGCTTAAGTACTAGGTTGATCAGGCAGAAGATGACTTAAATGACAGAAATCTGCTCATAAATCTGCTAGAAAAAGAACATGAGTTTACACCTCATTTGGGGGGCATTGAGACAGGGTCTTGCAAAGTAGTGCATGCTGGCCTTGAACTCACAATGTAGTCCTGGCTAGCCTTGAACTCATGGTGATCCTCCTGCCACAGCCTCCCGAGTGCTGGGATTACAGACGTATGCCACCATGCCTGGCCTTATACCCCATGTAAAGATTTTTTACAACATAAATGTACTTGAACGACTTATAGTTTCAAAACAAAACACCCCAACAACCATCTATCTCTTTAAATAAAAAAAATAATTTATATTCTTTTTAAAAGAATTCCAACCATTTAAAATAAATTCCAATCCCATATATATAGATATGTATATATATTTATAACTTAGGTGCTCTTTTGCGCTGTATGCTTGTGTTCATGCAACAGTGGCGGGCTGGGCCTGCAGCTCTACAGAGGCCTTTCTGAGAAAGCGGTGTAGCTCCTCACTCTGGCGAAGAACAAGGGGGTGTACATCTTGTCAATCTCAAACGCACTGACCGCTGTCTCACCAGTTGACCTGCAAAAACAGCACCAAATATAAGAGAATTTCAATTCCTTTCAAATCCGTGTGTGTTTGTCAAAGGCAGTTTATTTTATGCATTAGCCTTTTATTTTTAATTCACCTCAGTGGATTCTAAATGACAGCACACAGTAGAACACTGGAAACATTCACAAGAGCATTTAGAAACTCACTCCTAGCCCCGCCCCCTGCACAGCCACAGGAAGGGCTTTCTCCTAGGGCTCCTTCCACCGCCTGGGCCTCTGTGGAGATCAGACTGGACTGGAGATCCTGCTTTTTAATGAACGTTCTGACATAAGCATTTCCCGCACAGCTTGATTTTATGACTACAGACTGTTACACTGTCTGCTTATACTACTACGTAATAATATGTCCCCTCTGGGAGATTTACTTTTGCAATTTTTAGCTATTAAAATAGCACAATATTTTTGGTTATGTTCTTCAAGTATATCCCTAACAGAATTTCTAAGTCAAAGGCTACAGACAATTAAAAGCTCTGGTTAAAACGGATTATTTGCTGTTAATCATCAGCAAAATCATAGGTGGGGGAGAATCAAGGGATGAAATAAATATGCTACCTCAGCCTTTTATTACTCTTCTCCACCTAAGAGGAAAAATAAGAGTGGGAAATCCTAGAGACCTTATGCATTGTACCGAGTCGGTGTGGTCACACAGACAGGGCCTTCCTGTCACGCTGTGCTTTCGCCTTTGCAACCCGCTGGCCTGAGAGCGCTCAAACCGCGTATGAAGCACACACCTACGCTAGTCGCGGTAATGTTCTGCCGTGTTCACCTACTTGTACGTAATGTGACAAGAATGATGGATCCAAGTGAGTTTGTTGAACCTCTGGTGGCCGCTGGAACACAGCTGTAGGCCCACGTGAAAACTATGCTCGGCTTCTTGTACAGGGACACGACGAAAATATCTGTATTTATAATCAAGTGGTTTCTGTGAAGGAACAGGTACACAAGAACCATTACGGAATTCACATTATGTACTCCTAGGGGCATTCAAATGTAACAGCGACACTAAGAGTAACACAGAATCTGTACACAAGGAAGAGTTATCTTGGTGTCACATGACAATGAGCGTCTTAACTTTCCAAGTACTCTAAAAAGGCCAGCTTTCTTTCCATCACCACAGTAAGTCCATGCGTGAAATGACTGCACATGTCTATAAAATGGCCAAAAAGTCGAAGATCTAGGGAGGTCAAACAAGTTCACCAAAGTTACACAGCAGTTTCAGAGGTGGGTAGTAAAACTTCTGTTTTTTTCTACCAGTAAATACTTGGGTATTCGCTGAGGGAAAAAGTGATAAACTGACAAAGATTGCAGAAAATGAGTACAACTTATTTTTTGCAAATACGGCTGCTAAAATCACAAAAATGTAAACTTGAATGGCTTCATCACAAAAGAAAAGCAGCTGAGGGGTCTGCACAGGCATTCCTAGATACTTTTATTACACAAAAAGAACCAGGGCCGCACCAGTCCCAATTTTGACCGTAGAAAATGTGGGCTCAGTCAGCACTACTATCTCTCTCTCTCAGACTGCTGCGCCACACCCCAGGAACCCAGCACAGGGAGGCAGAGAAGTGAGCAAGAGGCGGTCACAGGAGACAGGAGGAGGAGGAAGCCCTGCCCTCACCATGCTAGGAACAGAGGGAGATTTCAGATGAAAATTTCTTTCAAAAACTCCATTACTTCTAAAGGCAATAGGCCAATACTTACTCCAACGCTTTCACAACTGACTTCCAGGTATATATGTTTTTTAATCAGGATTTTTAAAATGCATATGGAAAAATCTGTGTAAAAACCAGAGCTTTAACCTGTTCAGGGAATTTAAAGTACCCTACAATAAAATAAATATCAGTAATCATGTTTGCTTGCCCCTCCTCATGTCCTTTGGCAAGAATAGGAAGAAAGCAAGCTTATTTCAACTAGAAATTGAAATTCTCTCTAAAAAAAAAAATCTGTACTTTAGGAAGAAAAAAACTTCAAAATGAGAAGAGCCAAAAATACATGCAGGTATAATTTTGCTAGTCATTTCAAGGGAGATTTTGGTCTGACTTTTTATGCATAAAAGTACTGGGCTAAAAAAGGAAACTATCTGGAGAAAAACTATCCTGATCCAATAAAAAAGCACATCTTAGGAATCCAGCTTTCTTCAGAGATACATACAATAATGAAATAGTATTTATTGATTGAAAATGGTGAACGAGTACTGTTGAAATAAGAAAACTCTCAAGTCCGCCTTATATACTCACTTCTTCTTTCTTCTTAGTTATTACAGCAAACACTTTGGTCTGATTGTCTGTGTCCTGTGACAAGCGATAATGACCCAGTAGAATTGCATCGGTTCTAAAAAATAAATACATTTTAAATCTAATTGTACTAATCAGTTACTACATGTATTTAAGTGACCCAGAAAGTTATGAACTAGGAAGTTATGACTGTTTTTATAATCGTGCATGCTGGGTTTACCTGGAAACGTGGACTGGGCAGAAAGCTATAGAAAATACTACCTGGTATTCCTGGTTCTTAAGCGGGGAACAATGGACTGAGGCTCCTCAGGGGTCGTCAACATCATCACATAGCCATCGGGAAAGAATCTTATGTACCTATGGAAAAAGATAGACACCAAAACACACCACACACATAAGGTATAAAACACTCCCTTATTTTTCAGTAACCAAGCCTACTCAGGGCTGTGAGATGGAAACTGAAATACCATCAGCCAAAACAACATCATTAAAACAAACACAACCAACAATCGTTAGCTTAGCAATAAGGCACTAAAGGCATTTTATTATTATCCTTAGTGGGAACTTTTTACTTATATAACATAAAAATGAGATATTGTACTTTTATTAAAGTTCTAAGTTTTCCTAAAACACTAATTCATATCAAATGAAACTGCGGTCCAATAATTAACACACAGTGTTAATATGAGTCTACTTATTTCTCAATGATGGTACAGTAAGTCCCCAACTTATGAATGAGTTCCATTTCAGGAGAATGTTGGTAAGTCAGATTCATCTGTAATCTGACAAAGCGAGTTTTATACAGTACCTGTGAAAGTCTGCAACTTGCATGTTTGTAAGTCAGGGAATTACATACTATTTGGTGAACACTAAGGCTGGAAATAAGCACAAGCTATTTTAAAAGGCAAATGTGCATACCTGTAACAAAAGGAAAGCTCTGAAATATAATTTACAGGCTAACAGAAAATACGGGTTTTGAGTGATTTCTTACGTCATACTACCCGAGAAAAATACTGAGGGTCATTTTGTGAATACATCAAAAGCAACAGACTAAACAGCTAGTGTGCTCATACTTAGAGAGAGAGAATTTTCCACTCACTCAGTTTACTACAGTTGTACCTGTAATATTCCACTTGGTGCCAGGCTCTGTAGAAACCATCAAGAGACTGTTCCCCTTGACGAATATATGTAGTTTTACTGATATATACTCCTATAAAAATTAAGAAAATAAACCTTTAAAAGTTACCATCATGAAGGCAGGGTAGGGGAATGGGAAAAAAAAAGAAGTAATTTATATCATGTACGGGTACAAATTCCTTATGATGAATGTGACCATTATGTAAACCTAAAATGTACCAATAAAAACAAGTTTACAATCATATAACACATGTCCAACTTTACTTTTATTGTGCTTTCCTTTAAAGAAGCTCACAGTTCTTAGGTCAGTTGTTGGAAACTCACAGATCACGGTTTCTCCCGGGTTCTAGAGTCAAACTTACCATCAAACCGAACACGAGGCCGTTCTAAGAACATCTCTCTCCAGGATGAGTATGGAACAAGTTTAACACAGCTTCTGCCCCACACCTTCAAGCAGGCCAGGCGCCATATTTCAGGGTCTCTAGATAAAAAAGTGTAACATCAGTAATATAAAAAGCTGAGTCCCTAAAGACAGACATAATATTTTGGCTATTGGCCATCCTTTGTTCAACAAGTATTTGTCGAGCACCTGTGAGGCACTATTCCAACTGCTACAGAGACACTGACAGACAAGGCAAAGTCCCTGCTTTTTTAGCAGTGGAGAGAAAAAGTCCCAAGTCTATGCTCAGGGAGAAACTCCCCAACAGAGTGAAGCATGCAGACAGGAATGACGGTGTGGAGACAGGGAGGCTGGGAAGACCCCTGGGAGGAGATCGCAGTGATGGGAGGAGCACCCTGGGCGGTAGCCGCAGCACGGGTGAGGCTCTGAGGTGGAAGGAGAACTGAGGGGCTCAGGAAAGAGCCAGAGGGGAAAGCAGCAAAGGAAACCGTGCGAGGGGACGCCACGATCTGAGAGGTAGCAGAGGCAGACGAGGTAGCGTCTTGCAGATGGGAGTGGCTATTTACACAGGATGGATGCCACTGGAGGGCTGTGAGCATGGTTTACGCTTTTAAAAGAACACACAGAGGGCAGAGCAAGATGGTAGAATAGGACCCAAGACAAATTTAACAGAGAAACTGAAAAAAAAAATCAGCAACTATAGAGATGAAAAAGATAAGGAACTAAATAATGAAATGTAACAGACAGTATCAGCAACAGAACCAACTGACCAGAACAATCCACGAACCTGAAGGCAGGTTATTTGAAAACATACAATCAAAGGAGAAACAAGAATGGAAGGAACAAAGATTATAGAACATAGGGGACAGCACCAAACGAGCAGGTGTACTTGTCAGTGGCACTCAAAAACAGAGAACGATGAACAGGTAAATGTTTATTTAACACATTCATGATGGGGCCGTAACTCCTACGTCTCATCGTCTGGCGGCTCTGCTCTGAATTCTATTGCTTCTGCCAGCTTGAACCACCAGGGGTACGTGGAAGCCTGAACTAGTGGGCTGCTTGTACCACTTCTCAGGGGGCCTTTGATTACAATAACGCAAAGAAAACGTGTTGATTTAGCAGACCAGAGCCCATCATGATACAGTTCTTTTAGGAAAATATTAAAATGGTATAAAAAGTTGTAATACAGCTAATCTGTAGTACAGTTGTTGTAAATGCATATTATATACACCAGCAATAGGGTACTTATATGATTTCCATGTTAAAATTTAAAGACTTACTGATAAATTCCTCACGAATATAAATTTCTTTTAATAAAATAAATTTGTTGATTATGATAATTTTTTAAAATGTTATGAATAGTATTAGTACTTTTATTTGGGCAGAAACTATTCAAATTCAAGCAACTAACTAGCTTTGGTCCATTTATAGGCTTTTTATTAATTTTATTAGTAAGACGACCAATAAAAGTGATTAGATCCGTTTGTACCACCAGTGACACAAGCTGCCCGACGTGACACTCGTGTAGGTAGCACCGGTGGGACTTCACGCTGGAGGGAACATGTTAAAGGACTAACAGAAGACTTTCCAAACCCGAAGATACAAATATCCACATATAGGAAGGTCAAAGACTTCCAATCTGATACAATCTAAAGACTACCTCATGGCATACTATAATCAAACTGTTGAAGATCAAGACAAAGAGAAGATCCTGAAAGCAGCAAGAAAGAGAAAAGCAAGTAACATACAAGGAAGTTCCAGTATGCTGAGCAGCAGATTTCTTGGCAGAAACCTGAAGGCCGAGAGAGAACGAGATGATACATTGCAAGTGCTGAAAGGAAGTTGCCGGCCTGAGAAGGACCCAAGATTGCCAAATAAAAAAATGACACAGAAAAGAGGCACGGCAACAAAGGGAAGCCTCTCTTTTGAGAAGAATGATTGAAGGAGACTCTTGAAAATGAGCCAGCAGGGGAGGGAACCCTAAACAGTATGCGATCAACTACTGAGTAAAGCCACATCATCCCCGGCTCCCTGGCTGAGGAGGGTCTCCATACTGCCAGGGAAAGGCAGTCCACCAACTGCTGTCACAGCAGTGGACTGGGGGTCCTCCCTGCAGGTGGATTCCACAATCCATGGAGGGTTTAAATTCGGTCTGGGGAGCTGGCTGGCCTAGGAGTGACTGCCCAGCTGTGCAGAAGGAACTCATATTGACCCTCTCCCAAGCTCCAGATTCCCAGTTTCTACAATAGCCATTGCTAGATGCCATTCTGCCTTCAGGCCAGCAGCCAGCTGCTGGTGCAAGGTCTCGGCATGACCTGCTCCTGTCCATCAGGAGCTGGGAAGGTCCCAGCTGCTTCCTGCAGCTCCAATCACCCCGTTTCTGGCATCTCCCAGCTCATCCCTCAGGACTAGGATCTAGGATGTCCCCCAAGGTGCGTGTGTCAGACTCTGGCTTCTCTTCAGATCGTATAAATCTTTCGCCTCTTCCAAGGTGCATGTGTTAATGCCTTGGTCCTCAGCCTGTGGTACGCCTGGGCTGAGGTGGGGCCTAGTGGAAGAAGCTCGCCAACAGTGAGCACGACACGAAGGATACTGGGGTGCCGGTCTCCTCCTTCCTTTGCCTCTCAGTCGCTTTGCTACAGGAACCAAAGCAATGGAGCCAGTGACTATGGACTAAACCTCTGAAACTGTGAGCCAAAATAAGACTTGCCCCTTCAAGTAGCTATCTCTGAGGGTGAGGGACACAGCGCAGGGGCACAAGCACCTGCCTAGCAAGCACAAGGTCCTGAGCTCGATTCCCGGTACCAAAAAAAAAAAGACTGGCTTTAAGTAGCTATCTCTGATATTCTGTCCCAGTGATGGAAAGCTAGCCAACACAGATCCCATCCATGCCTACAGCTCCAGAAACACTGCTATCAGAGTCCCAACCCAGCAGCACCTGCACTTGTCTGATGGGAATTAGGGATGTTCTCTTCCCAGCTCACAGCCCCAAGAGTGCAGGGGCAGGTGCACCAAGTCCAGCTTCAGCCACCCCTGTTCTGCCGCACCTAACCCACAGATCCTAGGCAGTGTCCAGCTGTGTCCTGTGCTTCCAGGAACACATGTACCTGTGCTCCAAATGAACACCCCCTGCATTTGTCCCATGGGAACTATGGAAGGTCTCCTTCCCAGCCCGTGGCTTTGGAATCGCAGCTGCTGATGCAAAAAACCCACATCACCCAAGCTTGTTCCCTGGGAGCAGAGGAAGGCACTATGGACACTAATGCCTAACCAATGCTTGCCCCACATGACTGAGGGACAATCCACGTCCTACAGTTCTAGGACAGCAGATCCCAAAGCCACAAGTCCCAGTGCCACTCCTACTTTACCCATGGGCTCTAGGGAAGGTTTACCATCCTACACTCTCAGGAGCACAAAGCGCGGAGGCCAGTACCAGAAGCCCAAATGTTATCTGCATATACCCTGTGAGATCCAGCTCACAGCCATGGGATCATAGCTTCTGTTGGTGTCCAATGTCCTGGTATCACTTATGCTCAGGACCTGGGGAAGGTACCACTCAGATTCTACAGCTTCAGGTTAGTAGCTTCCAGTGCTACAAGGCCTACAACTACCCACATCATTCCATGGGAAGTAGCAAAGGTCCCCTGAGAATCCCAAAACCTTAAGTCTATTGTTACTGGTGCCCCAAATCCTAGTATTACCTGTTCTTATCCTGGGGGACCTAGGGAAAGCCCTATCCCACCCTGTGGCTCCTGGTGTACGAGGGGTTTTGGAAGGTCTCCATCACATTCTGTGACTGGCTGTTGGTTGCTAACACAACCCCTGGTATTACCTGTGCCTGTCCCATGGGACACGGGGACCAGCTCTCTCCACATCCTTCATCACCAGGACTGTGGCAGCTGCTGCCAAAGCCTCAGTGCCATCAGTGCTTAACTCTGCAGCCTGAAGACATGCACCTTTGGGAGCCTGCGCCCACTGTAACTACCTTCATGCGCCAGCACCGTCAAGACTCCTGACACAGACACTGCTGACACAAGTCAGAGGTGAGAAAATCACAGAGGCTACACTTTTGAGTATTTCTATAATTAAAGCCAAATCACAACTGACGCCCTATGTCCCATCGAAAAACCTAGAAGAAATGAAAAAGTTCCTGAACACGTATAAACTACCAAAGCTGAACCCAGAAGAAAGAGAAAATAGATCAATGAGTAATGAGCCTGAAGCAGTAATCAGAAGTCTTCCCTCTGAAAAAAATCAGGTCCCACCCAGGACCTGGTGGCTGTACTGCTAGATTCTACAGAACATTTAAATAACTACTTCTGCCAGATGTTTTATGAGGCCAGCAACTCAGATATCCAAACCAAAGACATAACAAGGAAGAAAGAAAAAGCAAAACAAAACTATACAGTCATATCCCTGATGAACACAGATGCAAAAGTTTTCAAAAAGATACTAACAAACTGTTATGATTTGTGTCTAGATTCCCTCTAAAAGGCTCTTGCAGTCATGGTTTGGGCTTCTGGAGTTTATGGTCCAGGGGCTAGGGATTTAGCTCAGCGGCACAGTGCCTGCCTGGCAGGCACGAGGTTGTGAGTTCAATTCCCGGTACTGGGAAAAAAACCCAAAAAGAAATGTATACAACTGTGGCTGTAAAAGCACCCATTGAAGGCTCGGCCTAATGACCAGGCCTGCATACTTCCCCAAGGGACAGAGTTTATGGTCCAATGCTGGGACTGTGCATGTGAGTGCTACACCCACCCTGGGGTGGGGAGCCTGAATGCAGTATTAGGGAGGGACAGAGGCTTGCTTGTTGCTCCCCGCTTTTGCTTACTGTTTTGCTGTTTTCCGCTGCCATGGACTGTTGCCCTCTGCCATGTGCCACCCTGCCTTGGAGCCAGCCAATGCACTGAAACCTCCACAAACCATGAGCTAAACAAACCTTTCCTTTCTTAGTTTTGGAGGCCAGGTATTTTGTCTCAGCAACAAGAGAAAAGTAACCAAGACAAAAACTAACATATTAAAAACATCACATCATGAACAAGTGCAATTCATGCCAGAGATGTAAGGATGGTTCAACA